ATTCTCCTAATATCCTACTGCTAAGGAGGATTTTGTGAATAGTTATAGTATCCCATTCCGAAAGGTGAGACTAGGGAAGACATTTTGGAAGACCTTTTAGTAATCACTATCAAAAGATACTCTACAAATTATTGTGTCAGCATAACTTTGTAAAATGTATTACAAAGGGAATGTAAATGTATTAACGGGAAACCCCTACTTATAGATAGTCAGAAAAATGGATCACTCAACCGCTAGATCACTTACCTTGCTACTTAACTCTTTAACGCCTTTAGGACTGTACGGTCCTCTTTCAAAATAAGCTCTATTGGTACTAGACTCGTAGGAGAAGGCGCTATCACCCTTTGAAACATGTTCAATACATCTCTATAGCCTTTGTCTGATACACCACCAAAACTCATCACGTCGGCGGCATCAATCTGCTGTTAGACACGCGTGAGCGCGGTTGGATGCATTTTACAAAAGTTATTTGGGCGTTAAAGGGTAATTATATACAGTGTGGGAAAGATAAACGAGGTCGGTGGCCTATATCATACTGAAAATGACATTGAGCGCTTGGGGTCACGTTATATCCTCCAGTTAACACTTTTGTATAAAAATATAATACTGATTTACTTTTCTGTATTTGATCTGTACCACCCTGTGCTTTCTTCGACTATTAAACAATTTGGACATCATTTGAAAAATAAACGCTTACAATTTGTAAATGAATTTAAACCCTGAACAAATATAACACAATTTTCAATTAACCAACTACATCTCGAAAGGCCCTCAAATATCTCAAATTAGAATCTCTAAGTTATTTTTGGTAACCTAGGAAGCCTTATCTTGGTGGTTTGATTCCCTTGGTTTGCTTAAGGTTATAATGCACTTATATTAAGTATCGTCAATTTAAATCTATTTTACAAAGCGAATCATTGGATTTCAGAAGTGTAATCCATTGCGAGCCCTACTCGTGACTCTTGAGCAACCGGGTATGATTAATTCCTTTCAAAGTTACTGAGCTAACGTGGGAAGGGACAGAAGATAGGGTGTCCTTTTAAACAATGAGATAAACGCAAGTAGAAACCTAAAGTAATTGCTCGGCCTTAAACCAATTTTCGTAATTTGTACCTTAAAACCCTATCTTTCAACTATCTGCCAAATTCGATATTCGTAACTCTAATTCTCTCAGGTTGGATTAAATTCAAATTAAGCGCCTAAAATTAGTTTAAACTTCGAAGCGTACGTTTTACGTTACCATATCATCAAATTATGGCAAATATATGAAAACCACCCTTATATTAGATATTTCATACTTCCGCACACACTACACAAATTTATTTAACTATGACTTCAAGGTATGTTCATGAACTTTGCACTGTTAACTACCGATATAGTCCATTATTTACAGACTTCTGTGTTTCAAATTTTACCTAAATAGGCACTTTAGTCTACCTACTAAACAGCCACCTCCATTGTCCACTTCCAGTAATAGTACTCACTAACTGCTCAAAGCCATTTTCTTTTTAAAGGTGCTGAAAATCTTGAAGGACAGTTACTCTTCCCAGTGATGGTTTCAGACATTTTCAAATTTAAGGCACACTTGCTACCTGAGAACACCTAAATTTGTCCTAAAATTGACTCCTAAACTTAGGTCAGGCGATAGAATAAGTTCGTCTTCAAACTAAGGGACCACTGTACACGGATTCATGCGTTTTAATCTCCTCTGTCACAAGACGTCACCACTATGGCAATTGACAAGAAAGTCTTTTTTTCAGAAAAACTGTGAGTTTGCTCTTGCTATCATTAAATGTCGGTATGCATACAGGGAGCGAGAGATACATGTGCAGGCAGTTGCGGAGTTGACACATAGTAGTAGTAATAATAACAATAACAGTAAGACGTGGGCAAGGGAAGAACAGCTGCATAAAGAAGACAGAGAGTTTGGGATTGGAGGGGCAGGAATAAGAGGCAGGGAGATGAGAGATTTAGGAATAGTGAGAGAACTACTTTTCTTATCTGAAACGGTGTTTACCTTATTCAAGGAGTCAGGGTAGGCTTACGTTCAGGGAGAATTGCAGAAGCATTGTTGACTATAGTCTGAGAAGGGAGACTCTTGGGCGAGGAGATGTAGGTTTCGTCTCCAGAACCATCAATAGATGATTCAATAGGACTACCATTCCAAGTTGGATGAGCGGGTTTCGACTCCTGATCACCACCAGAAAGGAGTTTCCCGATCTCTTCCATTGATGATTGAGAGAACTGACCCATTCCACCAGCCGCTAAAAGACTCAAATTTTCAGGAGCTAAGCCGCTTTGAGAATTCAGAAATGAGGGTGGAAACAAGGGCTGTCCTGACCCTTCAGACCTTCCGAGTTTATCGGTCATGAGGGAATTCATTGTTGCAAGGAGATTATCTCGTAGCTGGGAGAATGATTGCATATTGTGGGGATTAGGGATGAGAGAATTCATCGGTCCATCGGGGACCGGCAGTTGTGAGGGTAGCTGAGTTGGGGGCATTTGATCACGTGGGGGTTTCATTCCTAAAAGACGGGGAATTCTGGAAAGAAGTTGAGCTCCAGCCAATATTGGTTTAAACCACGGTCCTCCACGTTCCCATGAGGGGTCTGGACAGAGGTACAAAGGTTCATCTGGACCTCGGCATTCCGCCGGACGAAGACGAGCGAAGAAATTGAATATTTCCACGCAGTCGAATGGGAGTGTCTGTCTTTTGGAGTTACCATTGCTACTACTGCCTTCATAACCATCAAATACTCGAACTCCCATCGGTCCACCATGCCCATGACAGAATTTAACTTCTTGTGAACCCGACCGTGAAGTAAATCTCAGGAGATCCTGAGCGTTTCCATTGGTGACACACTGGAATTGACCCCAAGTTAGCGTTCGATGCTTCTGAGTTCCAACCACATTAAACTGGGTTCGTACAATTAGCCAAATACTATTTAGCAGTGCTTGTGGGTTGGAGGGGCCAAGGAGACCAGTTTGCAATAGCACATTGAAATTAACAATCTTGTTGCCGTCATGAGACTCGGGGAATCCAAAATCACTGCACTTTCCTCCTTCCATTTGACTTCTGTGTGCGTTTGCACTGCCGTTAGCCTGGCTAAGTGCCCTCAATTCATTCAATCGTTGGCTAAGTACCAGTCTAGCAGGTGCAAATTCGGGATCCTTAAGCACCGAGTGGGGGTAATTGTGATACTATAAAAACGTTAAAAACAAAACCGCGCGTTAGAAACAGACAGATTTAGAAAAAATAGGGCTATTACTAATAGACCAACCGTGTATATTTTTATTGGCCTAAATGCCATGAACACTTCATTTTTTACGTTCTTGTGGCAGCACGCTAAAAAACATCACTCATTCGACTATATGTAATTAACCCTCAGATTTACCTTATTGTTTATTCTTTTTCCAGGAGGGATTTTGCTCCCCATAAATTCAAACAGCCCGCTTTTCACTCTTCCATTAATCCCACCTTGAATGAAATAATAATATCCATTCAGATTGGCAGAGCGAAAGAGTTAAATGGATCTCACTAGCGGTTAGTCGGCACGAATTGATGCTATAAATAATGGATAGCTTCATGGGAATGTCACTCTGTTGTGTGGTTAAGCATAATCATCAAGTTGCATGACAGTCAGTCGAAAAGGCTAGCTTTCATCCAAGTTAATAAATAAGCATACCCCCATTTCGGTCATCTCATTAGAGAGAGAGAGAGAGAGAGAGAGAGAGAGACGTAAATATGAAAGTAGCAGCAGCAAAAGTAGTAAACTAACTAGGTGGTCGTTATTATATATGTAGACGTCATTGACCTGAATATTAACCACAAGTTTTAATGTACTACTTCCAGCGAGAGGGAGAGATGACCTGATGTCAAATAAGAACCGTAATTCCTACATTTTTTTCTGACCCATATAAAATTTTATAAGTTAAGCACTTTGCGGTGGACTGGATTAACATAAAATAAGTCCAAATTACCTTTAAATGTCGTTCAAGAGAATGGACGAAAGCTTTGAGAGATTCCGGTTCATATTCATGTCCGTCCTTTTTCTTAGCAGTTACGATGAAATCCTAGAAAAATGAACAAAAGCTATATCGTACTGAACACATCCACTCAAAATCACTTCGAAGAACTTGACACCAACCTGAATATAATTGCACAAATCCTGCGGCGGAATTTCGTGAATTTCACGAGTATCATTTTTTACCTGTACCAAGTATCTATGAATGACTTTCATATCTGATTTAGTTTTCCTCAACGTGTTGTGGACAATACCAGGGGGTGCTCCAGAGTTAGCTCCACTGCTTGAGCTCTCATCGCCCTGGCGAGATCGACTTTCAGAGGGCCCCTTGAGACTAGACGCTTTCGATAGTGGCTGGTGTAACTGCTGGGCTCCAGTGGGCGTAGATGGGAAACCCATTCTGGGTAGAAAACCAGGAAGAAGTGGCGATGGTTGCTGGCTACTTTGTGTACAAAGACTCGAGGGGGTTTGCAATCCTCCTCCTCCTCCTGTAGAGTTTGCTTGAAATCGAGGGAAGAAGGGGTTGCCTTCCATGCCTAATGTCAAACACAAAGTGCAATAGAATGTGAGGTAGGTAGCAGTTTATCAAACAAGCCAAATGATGCGGTGGTGGGGAGGTGGGGAGGGGGGGGGAGCAATATACGCAACGTGGAATGAATGGTAGGTGCACGATAGAAAATGTAAATCTAAAAGATATAACTCTAGGTACTCTCTCGGCAAACAAAAACAGTAGTAAGCTATATACACCTTCCCACGGTTTTGTAAACAGGTCTTATGGATGTATGGACTAACGCACTCGCGGATAACAAGTTGAATTATATGAGGTTAACGCGTTCTTTCATGTCGACGTCTTGTGTGTCACACTTGGAATTTTAACGACTAATAAATGGGGCACCTTCGAGTGGACGTACCACCTGTGTGGCAGTTAGCTGACTGAGACAAAGATATTTCCAAACCTGGTAAACTTTCTAAAATTAGATTAACCCTAATCCAATGCCTCGTCTCTCTCATTCACATGACTAAGATAAGCTCACCATAATCTAATAGGTGCTTTTATTACATCGAAGCTCTTAGAGGACCACCTCTTATTAATGCCCAAAGCTGAGCAGAAATACATAAGGCTTTTTAATATCATTTTTCTTCAACAAGGGGCACATAAAGTAGCTGCAGTTGAGAGAGGAGGAGGGGGGGGGGGATAAAGAGAAGGTGGCTGTAGAATGCGACTAAATTTCCCACGCGAAAGACTTTACTCCACTTCTTAGAAAAGCCTTTGTTCAGAGTCTATGACAGTCGGCTCCCCACTGTGTTTCGCCAGGCAGCGTCAAAGAATGTAACAGAATTTGATTTATATTTCTGCTTTGAACAACCGTTTAAACATACCCATACACTTGGACGAGCGATAAATCCTATGTTTACGTATTTGTAGACATGTATAAATATTTCAATGAAAATTTAAACTTAAAAGGTTGTAACACTACTGTGTGCATGTTCAGTATTCATATGTTCACAAGAACATTCCTCCCCTTCAGCTATATTTGGTGGAATTATGGATACAATGGATGAAACTGATACCGCTTTGAATTGCCCATTAATGCTAATGTTAATTTCAGCAAACAAGACCATTCTGAACCAGTACTTCGGTTAAGATAAAAGAGTTAGTTAGTTAGTTAAATTTAAGAAAGTCCAAATTCCCCACTTTTTCTAATGAGTAGCTTTCGAACCGGATGACATTTGGACACAAATGTTTTCTTAAGATGAATTCTTTCCTCTTCTAGACATGTTTTTCTTACAATACGAACTTGGAAACCACCCCAAAGGTGGGAACTGGGATTGGATAAACATTGGGTTGGTAACTGGGCCTCTTTGAGCTTCTTAGAGAGAGAGAGAGAGATGCAAAACCACATGTTACTAAAGAAGCAGACATTCCTTTAAGCATATACGATATACACATAAATATTCCACTTGGAGATTAAGTGCGTAGTTTAAATTCACCTGTTTCCATTATCTCCTATTCACTTTACTGTGATTCTCATTTGATCCTTAACTAGTTACCGAGCGATAATAAATGATTCTTTTTCACCCCATTTAAACTACCCTTTTTGTTCTTCAAATGATGGGGAAGAAAATTTCCATGGGCAGATTTTATCTCCTTACTCACCATCAAGTAATTAAGCCACAAACCCTGGCATTTGTGTTTAAAACTTGGGTGGCCACTTTGGCATTTTAGATATCACACATCCTTCTTTCTTGTCTTCAGTCATTAATACCCATTGAAGCCACTGGGTGTTATCTGAACCCCCCCCCCCCTTCTTTGCCTATAACATTCAGGAGCCCATAAATGTATCTGCCATCTATTTTGCAAGTGGGAAAAAGGGGCGCAGTGAATAGTGGGGTATCTACCTTGCACCTCTGGATTTTATAGCACTCTGTTCTTCGCTTATCCCTTAAATGCTTAATCTAAAAAGCGCTTCATATGCTACCTCATGTGAATTACAAGTCGATAAAACTGCACAGCAGAATCGCTTAAAATCTAACTTACCTCAGTTTGTTGACTGAATAATCAATAAATCAATGCTGAATTATGCGCAGCTAAGCTCTTCCTTGCAAAGGGCTTTTATCATATTCTCAAACGGATGTTTTACTGCCATTGTGAACAATTTTCCTCTCAAAGACACTAGAATTTGCACATCCCTCAAATCCATTAATGCATCACAAAAGCATTACAGTTCATATAGTCCTGTCTTCTCTCAAGTTCTCCAGTACGAGTTTATTTTTCGACTTGATAGAAACAGTAACGAAGTCATGTGTGTGTGTGTATGTGTATGTGCGGTGCTAAGACACTTGACAACAGAAATTGGGAAATGCGCAGGCTGGAAATGTTTACACTCTTCGTAGATTGAAGTGAAATTTGCAGTGTGCTTAACGCATTGCAATGCGGGCAAATGTAAGACTCTCCCTATCCATGAAGGATGAATGTTACCTCTCTCTCTCTCTCTAGGTGAGATACCACTCAGTTTAAAACTGGGTCAATTTGCATCCACTCTTTGTAGATGAATCACAGTACGTAAACTATATTCAGTTCCCTATTGTCTGTCTCTAATTGAAATTAATTAATATAGTCATTTCAAACAGAATCTCTCTGGGCATTCATACCGAGGATAAATTCGTTGCCACATTGCAGCACTAGTGATGAAGTGGCTCCAGATAGGAGCTGATTTATTCGACCTTGGAGATACGTTGCCTAATATGCTGGGGGGGGGTCTCATACATGTGAGAAAGCTGAATAAGCGTGCGGGCCACAGGGGGAGGAAGGCTAACTAATGTGACTATATACCAGAGTTTCTCATCTTCCCCAAGCTATTAACGTGTACCACCGAAGTATTGATTTACTATAAGCACATAACAAAGATTCAATGCCACTTCCTCTTCCACCCCCACCCCCCAGGGCTTATCCCTGGGACTTGATGAGCAAATGGTACGGAATGCCCCTTAAATTAAACTACAATTCCATCAACCGTTCCATAGAAGATTAACTTACTTAATGGAGCCTCCACACGAGCTCGTTTGAAATCTGGCTCAGTTGTTGGTGGGTTACGTTGAGTGCTGTCTCCATTCTGTTCAAGCAGCGGTAGAGGTGGGAGATCAAAGTTAAGACCGAAGAGATTCTTGGAACCGAGAGGAAAAGGTGGTGGGGGATTTTGTTGAGGTAAACCCTCAAGTTGGCCGAAGGGTAAAGGCAAATGAGACAATCGTTCATTTGGGGAATTCTGTCCGAGGGAATTTGACATAACTAGAAGACTTGATAGGTCCCATCCACAACCTATGGCAATAGTGCAAAAAAGTTAACATTTTTGTTTTTTGTTTAAATGTACTAAAGGTTAGCTTCTTTTCAAATTACGTGGAATATTTTCATGAAGTGACAGTAGGCCCGGAGCTCCCAAGGTAGGCAAAGGTGAAACAGGTGGAAGATTCTGAGGGGTGGAGCTACTTGAGGGAGGTTTGTTCTGTCCATCTTTCATCCCAGCTGCCACCGCGGCTAATTGTCCAATCATCAGAGGCATAGGGATTAAATGCACAAAGGCAAGGTGGCGTGCCAACTCCTCAATATTTCCACTCAGCTCTGCACTGCAAATATGACACTTCCGTAGAGTTTCAACTCCATTTTTAGTCTGTTCCTCGGTAATAGAAGGTGTAAAAGATGTTGACGTTGGAGTAACAGTTGTGATAGAGGCAGTACTTGTGGCAACTGTACTCGTACTCAAATCGAGGCATCCATTATCTTCGCTCTTCTTACTTGGGACAGGTCCTCTAAAGGGCGGGCTAGAATTGGAGGTATTCGTTGCCACAGAAGTTGGAGATAGGGTACTGGGAGTATTCGAGGCAGCAGTAGTAGTTGGATTCATACTGGCTGGTTTTAGCAACTCCTGAGTTTTGATGAGTTCAACCTGAAATAAAAGCACATAGAGAGAGGTAATTAAATTCTCATTCCCTCATATTTAACTCTCTCTCTCTCTCTCTCTCTCTCTCGCTGTCAGCTGGACTATTCAAAGCGTGGGAATAGTGTGATAGGCCATCTCCCCCCAAAATCCAACGAAATAATTGCACATTTTATGTGGTCCATTGTTACTAAATTCATTGACTTATCAACTTCTCTTAACTCCTAAGGCACACATATTTCGTGCCTACTTTTCTTTCGCTTGAAAGAAATTCTCGTAAGATGAATATACGCGCAATAACTACCGCCGGCAACTTCGCACATTTCTCTTGATATAGTGTAACACACGTGGTTCAAAATATGATTTCGATTAATGTGTGTATTAAAATCAACTCCACCCTCAACCACCCCCCCCCCTCCACCTCGGGTTTAATTCAACTTTAGTAAATTTGCGTAGCACATGTATCTTTGCTGAGGTAACTGCGCGAAAGAATCTTTCACTCCACCAAACACATGTATACACATATAGCCTTATACGTTAAATTTAAATATGTATAATTTTAATTCGCGACCTGAGTTCAGGTTATGTATCTCAACGGAGATTGAGAGAAAGAGGACAAGAAAGAAAATAAGCGCACATGTTGAATACCTTGGATTAGATAGTAGACAGACCACCGCTGTTAATGCCTCCATTTGCATTCTTTTGGCGTGAAATCTCTGTCCGCAAGACACATCTATGACTAAATCACACACATACACACACTCTATATCCCGCACTTATTCTGTTCTTAATAAATGATATTTCATCTTAAGACCACACGCACATAGGAGTTTGGTTCTATTCTTTCGAAAAGAAATTTGAAAAAGAAATACTTTTAATTAGCCACGATTATCTTCACCTCATATAATTAACACTAGTGAATCATGTACGCGGTTATATTTACTTCAAGTCACTCCCCATCCTATGCATTTAGGGGATTTAGGATGTTAGTAATATTTACACCCATAGATAGATTAAAAAGGGACGCTTTTCATAGATTTTGTTCAATCAGCTATTTAAAATTATGACGCGCATGGACATTTAGGGCAGGTAATTAACTTATGGCCGTTTGCAGCAAATGGGATTAAACATAATTTTGTTCGAGTTTTTCCGTCCCTAATACTAACTCCATTCCCCCCTCCCCTCCTCCCCCCCTCCCCCCCTCCACTTCCTACTGCCTTTTCCTTCCGAATTCTCAAAAGTTGCTTTAGCCTATTCACTGCCTCCAACCCCCCTCCCCCCCCCCCTTACAGACTCACCTGTCGGCGACCATGTTTAATTAAATTGCTGCATAGGCATGAGGAGGGAGGGTGATGGGATTGGAAACTAACTTCTAGCACCTGCTGCTACATACGCTCTCTTTAACTTGAACATAAATTCAGTTCTTTAAGGAGGGGGAGGGGTGGAGTGGAAAGGGAGGGGGGAGGGAGGAACAAAAGTGACAGACCATCTCAGCTTCCCGATGCCTTCTGCCCCCCGGGTATTCGGGAGGCGTCTATACTCATGTGCTCATAGCAAGAGGTGTAGTCGCAGCCTCGAAGGGAAGAGTTGCTCAAAACTCGTGCTCTCTCTGTGACGAGTAGCGGCGCCAGTGGTGTAAAATTTTAATCAAGTGGCGCCAGTGTCTCGCTGCAACAGCTCATGACTAGTTAGAGGGAGGGAGAGCGTAGGATTGCTGAATATTAATCGTTTGCCAGTTTACCTTCCTCGCCAGTACGAGCTTTTGACATACGCGTACACCTGCGGCCAAACAACTTACAATTCCTCCTATCCCGTCCCACCCCACCCCACCCTACCCCCCCCCCCACCTTTTCCACTCACTTTTACAGAAAATAATATATTCACACTCTTCATTAAAGCCCTTCTACTAACCGCGCTCGTTCGCGTTTTTAATACTTCGTCTACTACCACTGATTTAACGCTTCAAATTTAACTTCCTATACAATACTAAAATAAAAATTAAAAATTCCACTCGAACAATAACGAATCCTGGACAAAACAACTGACCAGTAACTGTGGGTAGAGTATCACTATCATTACTGTTGTTATTACTAACAGTTGTTTAATCTGATTAGGAGATTAGGAGGGTTTTCAAGTAGGAAAGATGAGATTATTCACTTGGAAATGAATCGAGTTCCGCGTTAGAAATCCCTTGAGGCTAATAGGGTCTTGTTTGCTCATTACATGATTCCTGTTCAACATCTTAATAACGCTTAATTAGCCCTAAAAAGATTCGTTAAAAAACGTCCTACTGGGGTTTTCGTGCGCCCACGTGTCAAGTGGAATTACTCTCATCGACATGGGACGTGAATTATGTGGACATATTAATCGCTCCAAGATGGTCAGTTGATTTGATTAATCCCTAGTTCGGAATCAGATGCTATTCCTGCCCTCCCCTCTACTCCCCCCTTCACTAATATTAATGATATGATCGTGTCCTCGTACCCCTTATCCTCTAATTCGGAGTCAAGTTTATGATCATCGTACACATGCCACAAGTTCACCTAAGTGGAGTGGAGTTGAGGTAGTTTGCTGAAACCGGTGTTGGGATTTAAACCGATTTTGGCACTTCAAAAGTAGGATTTCAAGAGATCAAAGTGGGAGGTCGTGGTCTCACATACATATTTTTGGGCTTGGAGTCGACAAATTTATGTTTACCGCTACGGGTCCTTTGAAAATGGTGCGTGAGAGAGGTATTGTGAGAGGTGCGATACCCCCATCTTTACTAATAAACGTGGCTCTTTAAATCACATAGTCGATTTAAACTAGAGAAAACCCCATTTGGGTGCGCTTAGACCGTTTGTCACATCCAAGAAGAGCGAGAAGCTGTGGGAAAACACCAACAGACTGAGATCTAAATAAGAGCCACACATTGTCGTCACCATCCTAACTTTGAAAAGAGGGGAGAGAAGGGGGGGAGAGGGAGAGGGAATGGAATTATAGTACGTCATGGAACACTTGTGTATAGTTTCTTCCCCTCTCCTCCCCCTTAGTGAAATCTGATGACACTTTAGTATGTCCCCCTCCCCTTCTAAATCTCCCTGTGCGGGCCAGTGTATCCCCTCCCTACCCCCTGGCTCGATTCCCACAGGTGTAATATGGCCGATAGGTATTCATAGAACTGGCGGCTCTTTTGCAAACGAGCTCTCTCTCTCCCTCGCGCGCGCGCGCGCGTTCCATATAATTGCGTGGTAATTGAAAATATCGAATTTCCGCCCTTTGGGGTACTATAATCAACTTGACAAAGGTGACTTGATTTCCGCAAGAGACAAGCACAAAGCTCAGCTTATCCTCAATTCAATATCCTGCGAACGAGTGAGAAACGGAAATTAGATTTCAGTGTGCTTTCTATTAAATCTTCCGGAAGTACATAAAATTACTCCTCAGCTGAAATTGGTCTTGAAATAGTGGTCGAGTATATTTGAGTGCTTTCCAGGTTTATGCTTCACCCTTCAACTTTAATCTGACTTAAGGTGATCTCCAATCCATAGGTTACGCCTGGAGTTTTAAAATTCCAATTAAAGGAAAGTATAATTTGCGTCAAGTCCCTTTTAGCAAAAGTGTTTTAAACAAAATTAGGATAAAAGTTAAACAAAATTTGAGGGAAATTTTTAGTTTCATTCCTTTTTTTCTAAGATGATAAAGATTATGCAAATAATTTAGTGGAAAGGTGGATTATCATTACAGGAAATGACGCAAGTGGAAGATTATTTCAAGTGTAGAAATAATTCAAATTTGTTTAAATTCACTTGGAAATAATATTATCGCATGAGTTTCTGTATTTGAGATAACTTTCGTTTCCTAATATACTACAGTTGCTATGGTGAAAGTATCAGGGCGATTTTGTAATGAGAGCATATGTTGATCGAGTATCGAAGTGGAGCAGACTGTTTGATCATTATGACTCAAGATCAAGGAACATGCACATTAAGGTCAAATAATAAAATATTTTTTGAGTTGGTCAGTTGAGCTGAGGCACAAACGTACAAGGTCACACACGCACACACACACACATACACACACACACACACACAAAACACACAAAATACTGAAATCACGAAAACGATAAAATAAGCGATAACGGTGCTGATGCTTCTGCAGAAGTAGAAGTCACCTAACCCTCTGCCCCATCCATCCTCATCAAATTTAACCCGACACCCCCGTCTATCTCGTTCGCCTCTCTGAGGTTAAGACCTTCATAAAATGATTACTTCAAATATTAATTTTTATCGCGCTGTGGCGTACGTTCTGCGTTCTTCGTCTTCGTAATGGAGACACACATTAAATCCTGCGACCTCCATTTGGGCGCTAAAACTTTATCAGTTTAAATCAGAACTAGGTGCTAATATAAACGCCTCTAAATTCAGCATGTTTGCAATAGATATGGAACACATCCATAGAAGGCGTATAGAAGGCTGGGAAGGCGTATCCTCTCATTTACAAACAATCAGGGTCCTTTAAAAAAATCAATTTTTTTTAACGGAGACACCTCAATGATATACCTTAACCTTAGTTGTCTCAATTTGGAGTAGAAAAGTAGTCGTAATGATAGGTGCTATTATTTAATTTTTAGGTATGATATGCTTTCAGAACATGGAAATTTAATTTTCTGGTAATGGCAAAATGAGTCGAGTATTCGGTCATAAAAACATTCTTCCTTATAATTGAGTTCTTTACAATTCCTCTTCGAGAAGCATCGATGTAAATGCTGTCACGAGCACTATATTCGTTATTGTTAAACCAGAAATGACAAATTCTGTGGATTTCCTTCAACTTCAAACGTGGAATTCGCCTCGAGTCAAGACTATCTTGATGTGCGGAAGCAGGCATACTTTATAATTATGTGTATAAAGTAGTCTTTCGATGATAGATTGGTGGGCATACAAATGTCTGCTTCTAAGGCACATGATTGACATTTTTAGTGATATAATAAGGTGAATACGAGAATTCCTTACACGAATTTACACGTAGGTACAATAGAATTATTCTGCCTCATTGTGTTTATTCTTACCAAGTAGCCATGACCTTAGTGGCTCAACCAACCCTTGTCAAGGTTGTTTATCAACTTAGATCCGGTCAGATCAAATCAAATGAGAGATATTTACCTACGAAATATGCAGATCTTCGAATATCCTACACCACTTCCCGCCCCCCCCCTTTCCTTACACTTTATTGGTAGGGCCTTTTTGCCTGTCCTTAGGAGAGTTCGTCACAAAAGTGGGTCTAATCAAATAGGATTTTGAATCATCTGGCAAGATTGTCAAAAACGCGTAGGAGTCGGGTGGGTTTTATATCATATTTCCATAACTGAGAAATCAGCTTTGTGATAAGTTTAAGTAAACATACTATTATCAGAAGGTGTTTAACGCCATATCTCCAATTTTTCACACGGATATTAAAGCATTTCACTTCCTATAGTATATTTGATTTAGGTGATTAAAATCTTTGGTGTTATAAATAATCGAAATGAAGGGAAAAAAACAAGAAACTATGGCATTCTGTCTAAATATACACGCACTAATAGGACATTTTTTCACTGAGAATATGAAGACTGCATATTGGACAATTTTGGTGAAATGCTTAATTGTTATTTCGCGTGATTTAAAAAAACACTTTATAAGCAAAATAGGATTTCAGCAAAATATCGTTTAAAATAAATTAAACAAACAGAATAATGCCTTATTCAGAAGGAAGTTCAGGTTATATTGTAAGCTATTAGCATAAAAATGAAGACAAGAACCGTGCGTATTAAGTCGTATGTAATCATCTCAAATTTTGAATAGTTATTTGATCAAATGATGATACATACCTGAGATCCTTTGTGGAAGAGATCAATATGCTCATCCATGAGACTCTGGGAGGTAGAACATGCAAAACAAACAGAGCAGGTATGGAGAAGGTAGTTTTTCTGGTCGGCACTGCCAGCAGATTCATTACTGCAGGGAAGGTGGCTATCAAACCTTGTTTTGTTAATGGACTCCAGACCACATGTCGAACAGCGAAGGAAATGCACGAATCGTCCAATAGTCTTTGCGTTCGACCACGGAGAACATGCCATAGCAGTCTGGTTGTCTTCTGTCTTCATTCCTGTAGGAGATTTCAAGAAACATGGTTTAGGTTCCGTCATTTCTGTGGATGGAGTCTTGTTTGTAGTAGTTTCAGGATGAGACATTGCAAGTTTACAGATCGATTGGAAATCATTTTGACTCATTTTAGTTAAATCGTGAGTCCACTGGGGCACTGGGGGTACTGTGGACATGTCCGCTATTCAAGAAATTTGTAAATGAGCAGAGCTCAGTCTGTCTTTTCTAATAATAAAACGTTATAGGCGCTTAACACTCCTAAAGCAAGATGCACGTGCGGAGTGTGTTAGCGTATAGCCAAAGTGGCTGGCGATTGGTTAATGACAGTGCGCGCATCAAATCAAACGCGCTTGATCCAAACACCAATCAGTACAGTTAGTACGGCCTGTACGGGAGAAGAGAGGCAATCCTGACAGACGCGTAGGCGGATATCAGACGAATTCAGAAGTGGTATTTTCTCCCTATCCAATATGTGCGCTTGTGTTCTGGTTGGCAATTTGCTGCTTTATAGGCGCGTCTCGTTTAAATCCTGTGTATGATATCCTTTCGCGCGCGATGTTGTTATCCGACATATGATTGGCTAATATTACCGTCTATATCCGTCGCGAATATAGATAACACAGTAATTCCCCCCTACTATCCAACCATTGCCTTCTCTTTTCCTGAAGTAGAGGGAAGGAGTGCTAGCTTAATATAGAAAATTAAGCGTGTTTCGAAGCTTCTCTGATTTCGACTTTCATTTTGGTTATTCGCTTGGCAATTTGAAAAAAAGGAAATTTCTGACCCATTCATCTAATTAGTCACATGCAGATATGACTGCATCAATTTGGGCTCAAATTTGGCCAAATACACCATGTCTATTTGGACTTTGTACTTTTATCATTTTCAACCATCCCAAATCTGTTTATGATATATGGCATTCTGCTATATGGTGTACTTTATTCTTGGCTCATTCGCTTTAATCTATCTACAAACTCTTTTATCAACCGCGTCTTATAAAAAAAATGCGCTAAAGTGAATTGAGAATAATCGCACAGATACATTATATTGAAGGCGAAAGTAGAAATAAAAAATTTAGCCATGAAGCACAATAATGTATGACCCTCCCCCACCCCC